CTTCACTTAAAGACATTTAAGTTTTTGAAGAGGAGTGACACATTGTGTCCAATGAACAATATAAGAAACTGCTTCACATAGCACATTCCTTTTCCTTGACAAACCACCCAGAGACGGATGGACAAACGGATATCGGATACTTTCCTGTGGATTGAAGAGAGATTAGAAATGAATAAAGACGGAGCTTTAGCCCCATTTCGATTCCTGTGAATTAGTCTACAGAATACACTGAAATTTGTTAGTCTTCAATGCAGTGCTAAAAGGTTGAAGACATTCTCAACAGGGTTTCACTTGATTGCGACAATCACAGATTTTATCAGAGTTATTTATCCCTTGTGGGAAAATACACATAAATAACAGCATATATTATAAGCAGGAAATTACCCAGTTTTTTCAAGCAATGTCAATCACCTTCTTAGTGTGATCACGGTTGGATGGTGTGTCTATGCACTTCCCTTGCCGTTGTCTGGACTTGATTTTTATTTTGTAAATAATATTTTATTTCTTATAGAAAATGGATCGAAGAACATGCAGGTGATGTTCTGTATGTTAGAAGCAGAATAGGTTCACCCTTTGGAGGATTTGAGTTGCTAGTAGTCATTTTGCAGTCTTTTCTAACTGTATGTCTTCGAGGTGACAGTTGTTGGAGATAGATAAAACGTTCTCTACATTCAGCATACGATCTTTTTGTGTAGCTCAGTTCAGTTCAAACTTTAATACGTTGACGCCAGCGGCTCTAGTTTATTTCCGTAATGGCTTAATTGGCCCATATGATATATCAGTATAGTGCCCATTGCTCTGCAGCTTAACTTAAAATGAAGAATTAAGGCCGTAAATGTAGATGTAAATACGTTGATGCTGAAACTCATTCATTTCATTAACCCAAATTCGGATTAAAAGCATGAAATATAAGCCTATGATTTATTTTATATTTATCTATATATTCTATAGGTTGCTTTATAATAAAGCCTTATTCGTTGTATGATATTAAAATCTCCATTTCAAAACGGACACTTAAAGCCATTGATATTGATATGCTGAAGTGAATTCATTCATCACCGAATTGAAATATCAATGAGGAGAGTGGGACAACTGTTGTGGCTGAATTCACAATATTCAATTTGTTAAAATAAAGTGGCGGTGCAAGCTATTTGTCTAGGGGGACGCCGCCCTCCCCTGTGGCGTCGCCATTGTTCTTATGAATCTGATGACCGCTGAGTCCTACTTGTCAAGTTATCCACGAGTCCAATCTGAAAAGGTTATTCTAATTACACCCCTAATACAATTATAAATCATTCCACAATGATTTTGACATTTCAATTACCACATCAAAAGATTCAATCTTTTTCACTATCAAACCTTATTAACTTTTAATCTTTATTGTACTACTTATACTAATATCCTTAGTACTTACTAACTCTCTATTTATTAGGTGTGGTATCAAACATATCCTGGGTTTATTATAGTCTCACTTGACTCAATAGTCACTTATTGTCCATGTCATGTCTGTTTCTTAGACCTGCATCACTGCCATCGGAAATGTTTTCTGTCACATTGATTAATATCCAAAGTTACCAGCACCATGTAACAGAGAGTTATATTTGTGATATAGAGATTTGTAACGACGAAATACACCTTAAAAAGTAGTCCCGAAAAAAAAACGCACAAGAAAAAACTTTGACTATATAATGTTGAAAGTTGCTATAAAAGTAATATGTAATTCTGTTCAACAAAGCTCAAGAGTGGACAGACATACATATTTTACTGGAACATTGAAGTATCTTTTAACAGCGATTTCTTTTCGTATTCACGATTTCAGCAGAGCAAAAGAGAACAACAATTTAATACTGTAATATTGTTGCATCTTTAAATCTATAGACTTATTTTTTGATTTGCAAATTCATCATTCCATTCAATTATTGATCACTGTATCGATTTTTCTTATAATAGTTCTTGTATGAGATATGAAGCGGAGAATAGATCAAGTTGGTGAGAACATCTTCATTGGGTAATCGATTAAGACCACCATTTCTACTATGCAGTTTGAAGACATTTATATCAGATAACTGTTTGTTTGTAGTGGTATTTTCTTATCACGCAAAAATGAAATAAAATTGAAGTATACACGAAAGGGCAAATGGTTGGTTAATACAAGGATAATCTATCTTTAATATGTCTGAAATAGCTTTTGTAATAGAATTTCAAGCACCTCTTACCTCATACCGTCATAATCAAGTTGTACTAAACGACTCTCCTCTTTAACCATCATCGTACTTCAATAGCCTAGGTCGTCTATGTAGGTGACGAGTCTGAATATAATACAATATTTTCACCGTTAAAATAGCGCTCAATACATCAATTGTAGAGCGATATAGAAATACCACTGTCAAATAGTGCTCAATACATCAATTGTAGAGCGATATAGAAATACCACGGTTAAAATAGTGCCCAATACATCAATTGTAGAGCGATATAGAAATACCACTGTTAAAATAGTGCTCAATACTTCAATTTTAGAGCGATATAGAAATAACACTGTTAAAATAGTGCTCAATACTTCAATTGTAGAGCGATATAGAAATACCACTGTTAAAATAGTGCTCAATACTTCAATTGTAGAGCGATATAGAAACACCACTGTTAAAATAGTGCTCAATACTTCAATTGTAGAGCCATATAGAAATATTAGTGTTACAATAGGGCTCAATACATCAATTGTAGAGCGATATAGAAATACCAGTGTTAAAATAGTGCTCAATACTTCAATTGTAGAGCAATATAGAAATACCACTGTTAAAATAGTGCTCAATACATCAATTGTAAGGCAATATAGAAATATTAGTGTTAAAATAGTGCTCGATACTTCAATTGTAGAGCGATATAGAAATTTCAGTGTTAAAATAGTGCTCAATACATCAATTGTAGAGAGATATAGAAATACCACTTTTAAAATAGTGTTCAATACATCAATTGTTGAGTGATATCAGATCTCTCGAATTATAAACTACCAAACCAACAGAGCAGAATAATCCAAATTAAACTTATCCAACTACGACTCTATGACTTCGATTTCGGAAATTAACGGAGCCCCAATATGCTGCAGATTGTTCAAGATATCCAACGCGTGTACGATAAAGATCCCTTGATATATGCAAATAAAAAGAGTAGACTAGTGTGGCTTTAAACGTTTCCTTAATGCACATTATATTTCTACATTAGTCTATCCGTACCAATTTACAGCTGGTTCGACTGGGATTATGAGGAAAGATGACTTATTCAAGGTCACCAGACTGCCCACGCAGATCTGTTCGAGTGGTCCGAGTGTGGTTATCCATTCAATATTATTTATTTCTAACCCTGAATGACCTTTGGAATCGACACTACATCGTCAACTCTCATCACAGCACTTTGCCATGTAACTGGATAAGCCATAGACTTAATACTTATTTCAGCGCAAAGTAATCAGACATGCTCATTTATATTTATTGCAGGACTTAAATGGATAGCTTTCACTAATTCTCAAGATCGTTCTTTAGAATACGTCTTTTAATGCAGGCCAACAAGCGGAAAACCTCTCGAGAGACTCGCAAATTAGACCATAAAAAGATTGTAGAGAATTAGCTGAAATCTTTTGTAATCTGCTGTAACGATCAGGGTATTTCATGAAAGATAATCAACTTGGCTGAACGTGATTGATAATCATTGACATGGAAAAGACGGTTTTAAGAAATCTAAATAGGTCACAAGGAGAAAATCTGACATATATCTATTGAGCATTATTCCATTCATAAGGAAAAGGGTGGTATATACTGTTTATCCATTAATGACCAAAAGCTACCTTGAATAATTTACAAATCACAAGGGGGAAAATAGTATTATATACCCAACATAACTACTACTAGTAGCTTGAACGGCTTGACTAGATTTTTTATGTTATTTTCGGATTTCTATTTATACTCAGGTCATAATCTCTGTTTGGTGTATCTCATAGATAATTCCATGTAACATAATTATTTGTAGTGGTATTACATTATTAAGTTACCATGATATTTCTGATTGACACGGTTGAACTTCTATTGCATGTTTAGCAGTGCAGATTAATCAAGCTCACATCTTGTTCTTTGGACATTCGTCACAGAACTCAGTGTGTTGGAAGCTGATCGTTTGAGGTCTTTTATTACTGTATAATGAGAAGCTGATTCTATGCATCTATCAATCTCTATGATCTGAAATCGATGGTTAAATCACAAGATGATCTCTACCAAGTTCCCTGTTTTGCTGAGAGATTACATTGAACCATTTGACTCACTGAAAAAATTAATCCTTTGAAATTAGGAAACATTACCTATAAGTTTTTCGTAATGTTTCCTACAGTGGCGGAGCCAAATAGGGGGGAGGGGGGACTGACCCGAATGCTAGTTTTTCGGGCATGACTCTTAGGCTAGAAATTCGGGCAAATCTCGCCCTTTCTCGGACGTAAACATGGCTCGGCCACTGGTTTCCTATTTTAGTTTCCAGATAAAGCTAGACTTTAATAAAGTTAAATGTTTCGTTTAAATCATATTTTGTGTATAGTTTAAACTGAAATTTTGTAAGTATTAACCTATGACAGTACTTACTGTTGGAAAGTAATTAAGTACTTCTTCAACGCCTTACCAAGAGTGGCTCAATTAGATGATGAGTGGGGACCCTTGGACCTTAGTGGATTGGGGCTCCTGCATTATTTCGTGGATGGGTGCCACCTTAGGGATTGGGACCTGTGGACTTGGTCTGAGGTTGTTCGTTGCTTTTATTATATTCTTTCCTGTACTTTTGTTGTGAGAGTTTGGGGTCCGTGGTCTCGGTTCCACCAGTCCCTATGGTAGTTGAACCAATGGTGGGTGTTTGTTGGGTTTTTATACTAAGAACTTAGGAATAAGGCTACCCGCCCATTTTCGATCCCAGCCCCTTTTTCACCTAATTATTTAAAAAACACGACACCGGCAACGACCTCCTAAATAATTTTTTATTTGTTTATTTCACAGGATGAACAGATTGGGTTCCTGGTGGTACTCTTCATGTTTATAGTAGTGGGTAATTCTATAGTACTAGCTGCCATTGCTTTGTCTAAAGAACGACGAAGATCTCGAATGAATTATTTCATAATGCATCTGGCTGTTGCAGGTAGGTACAATTTTCATCAATTTTGTGCCATCAGTGCCGGTGGAACTTTATTTCTACAAATCATCTTTTATACAGGTAAAATTTTTCTAGCAAAGTTGGGAGGAATTCCGAGCTATGATGCTTACTCTATTAAGCTTAATAGGCTTATTGATATACTTCCTCAAAGGAAAATTTCATAAGCTGTTACCAATGTATTGCCAATATGTTATTTTGGATTTCAAGTTTCGTTGTACGGATTGGATCGTTAGTACTTTGTTTTTTGTGTTTTTTTATTAACAAAAATTACAGTATGAAATTCATACTGTATATAGGTAGTAATAGTTGTATTTAATATGATCGCGAGTTTTCCCAAACACTCAAAATTTAAAATCTATACCTACTCAACGAGGATAGATGCAGATAAGAACATCCACCAAAACAAAGCACGGGTTTTGATTTGGTCAATACTACGAAGGCTATCCATTATAATCATGACTTGCAGCAAAAGAATGTTTTTGTGTACAACCAGATGCAAATGAGTATTGTCCACCCGTTCGATATCGCACTATGGTTAATTATCTGTTACAAAGGTTTGACTAGCTCTATTGACATTGTTCTTAAATCTCCCTTTATTATCAGTTTCTTTCAATAAAGCCAAGGCTATCAACATTGCTAATTATTGATAATTTAATGATAGCTTATTAACTTTATAATAAATGTTTGTATTTGGTTTCCGCCTCTCAGGAAAGGTATAATCATCAGCAATTATATGATGATGTCCAGGCGAAGCTAATACAATGTTGATAATTAGAAACAAATTATAAAGTCCATAATATTTGGAAAACACAATTTTTAGAAATTGATATTTTATTTTGAAATCTAGCTATAAATTAGTGGACACACCGCATTGTCTGCTCAATTGCGTTTTCCCAAACCTTCACTACACTCAATAGATCAAAGAACCATTGCTACCCAAGGAATACAATGCAACCATTACGTTACGTATCACATGGATTATTATAATTAGCCGTTCCTCATCTCTTTAAATTTATATCCAGTGTTTGATCCGATATGCGAACTATTACAACATCAAAGTGCATTTCGTTGAAATGTTGAAATTGAAAATATCTAAATTAAATACACCCTGTCTTTCATGAAATATTTCCAACATGTAGGATAAAAATTAATGATCCGAGGCTCCGATTTGGATCTAAACCAGCATTAATTAATTTGTCATTGTTAGTGAAGACCTATGAATTGACTAAGTCTTTTATTGAACTAATGATAAAAACAGTAGGTATTTATATAAAGCTACAAGTATCTTATTATTCTCAACTGAAAATGAAAGTAATTATAGCTACTAGTAATAGTCGAAGTAATGGAGTAAAGAGGAGTTTGGCGTTAGATTGTTCCATTATTCGTGCTTGGTTATTGTTACAATTAGTGCATTGATACATGTCAGATTCATTTACATATGTTGCATTTCGGGTTTTGAAAACATATTTGTAAATGATCTAAATAATAGAGATGAATGGGATTCGTAGACCACGCCTTATTTATCCTGGAGAGTAACGTTCCAATTTCTGCCCTCGATCGCGCTAATGCAGCAAAACAAAGTCGTGCAGTGTGCAATGGAAAATGTTAGCCTATAGACCGAGGCATTAGCAACTCTTCTTCGAATTTCCAAGTGCCGAAGGATCTTTGGCGATCACGTCTACTATTATAAATATTTCTATTATACTGTGCTCCTCGATGAACTTTTGGCATTTGCAACTCTTCTTAGATTTCCAACTGTCGATGGATCTTTAACAATCACATTTAAATATAAGAACTATGCTCCTTTAACGCCCAGTGGGACCTCTAAGTAATCTGTTCAAGTGACAGTGATTGATGCATGTCGATTAGGAATGTTACAGAAGACTCGTGACATGAACTAGTTGAATGTCCATCATTTCTTCCTGTTGCCATACTTATAACCTCATTATACTAGTTGGACACATGTCAAGTGTCTTTCAGTAAGTACTTCGTACGGAAACGTCCAGTCTTTAGTTAAGATAAGAAACAATAACATTAGATGAAATAAAATTAGATGAGATAGGGTAAGATAAGATAAGATAAGATAGGATAAAATGTCAAGTGTCTTTCAGCAAGTGCCTCGTAAGGAAACGTCTTTAGATGGATAGATACAATAAAATTAGATAAAACGAAATTAGATAAGATAAGATAAGATTAGAAAAGAAAAGAAAAGATAAGATAAGATAAGATAAGATAAGATTAGAAAAGATAAGATAAGATAAGATAAGATAAGATAAGATAAGATAAGATAAGATAAGATAAGATAAGATTGATTGAAACATAAAACGTGATTTGAAAGAAATAACAAAATTTAAAGAAACATGTAAATATTATTGTTAAACAAAACATTTTTAACGTCAATGAATGTAATAATACAATATGTATCTTTTTCTGACATCTGATGAATATAAAATCCACTTCCTAATGACATAAAATACGGAAGTTTGTCCTTGATTATCTGAAAAATAGTGGCTATGATCTAAAGATGTCGAGTTGAAATGGAGGGATAGCTTCCACTTATTCGCTTTCACATAATTGTACACTACATGTCAATACCTCTTTCAATTAGCCGATTCAGATTGAACTGCAGAAAAATGGCACTTCCATCGTATTTCTTTGTCTCCAGGATCATTAGTATGTCATTTAAATTCCGCGGTAGATGACAGGAAAGATCAGAGAAGCATTGCTACCCAGGAATACAGTGCTACCATTAGGTCATGTATTATATGAAATACATTAGCCGATCCTTGTCTCTGTTAATTTATATATCTCTGTTTTGATCCGATCAACCCGTAACATTTGACAAGCGAAAAATGCAACAAAACACCATACACCATAGCCTCTCCGGATATATTACTTGCTCTCTGGATATATTACATGCCTCTCTGGATATATTACATTCCCTCCGGATATATTACTTGCCCTCCGGATATATTACATGCCTCTTCGGATATCAGGATATATTACATGCCTCTCCGGATATATTACATGCCCTCCGGATATATTACTTGCCCTCCGGATATATTACATGCCCTCCAGATATATTACTTGTACTTGCCTGCCCTCCGGATATACACATACAGTTGTTAATGTACTAAGAGAAGTGTTCAAGAAGAGCTAGTTTCGAAACTAGTTAGGAAACACAATCATCTAATTGATGGAATCGATGAAATCAACCGGAACGCAATAGTAGACTTTAGACTAAAACAATAAAATATATAGAATAAATAGACTCAACACAATCTATTACGATTGCAAAGACGAAAGCAAATATAACCATTAAACATATTAAAACATTAGTACAACTTCAATCAAAACCAAAACCACCAGGGTTTACTCACAATCGTCATATTTATATTGTTAACTCAGGACCCCCTTTTAGAGAGTCCCCGCAGATAAAAATGTTTTTCGATTTGCCATCTTGGCATGCCTTACGGAGAATGTCCATAGACTATACTGTTTATTTCACATATTTCTAGACAATACAGCCTCCCTCCCAGGAGTGCCCGTAACATAACGTATATTTTAAGAGGTGTATTGGTGCCTGTCAACTCGACACAACTTTAGGAGAGTTCACATATAGTTATGACTGTAAAACATATATTGGTTGTGGCACTACTTTATATATGTTTTTATTGTGTTTTATTTTATACTTGCAGATCTTTTGAACGGTCCATTGAATGTATTGATAGATCTAATATCTAAGATCACTATATACTGGTATGCAGGAGATGTTTTATGTCGATTTATTCAATTTACTAGAGTAAGTGTACGGTTTTTATTACCACTTCAAGATTCCATGAATTCTAACTATATTGGTAAATTATGACAGTCGACTTATTCCTTATTTTATGCGACTGAATTTTCCTTATTAAGACACATATTCCAATGTCCAATGTCTAATCGCATGCCTATGAGATCTGCTTGCGTCTTCGGAATCAGTTTTTACATTCTTGCTATTACTTGTTTTTATTCTACTCTGTAAATGATAATGCGAGAATGATATAAAATGATTCCTGCAACAAAAGTTTGGTTATATATCAAATGCTGTCAACGTCGACAATAAACGACTGCTTCTGTTGTGAGACATGATCATGATCCAATTTACATAAGGTATCAATCACATGACACGTGCCCTGCAAGACCTATAACCCTACGAATTACAAAATTGTCCAAGAAGCTTATTAGGTACCTCTTAAGCTACTTAGAGATACTAAGTTACTAAGAGATACTTTATTTATACGGCTTACAGAAGTAGGAAGGTAAACAAGATATATGGATATACTAATTCTGAATTTATTACATACTACGCTTCAAAACACACACAGGTAACGTTATCAAGAATCATTTCATCAAAACGTAGTATGTAATAAAGTCAGAAGTAGTATATCTATATATCTTGTATTCTTAATAAAGGATACTTGTTTTAAACCAGAATACGTTTCCATGTTCCATTTATTTCATGTTCATTTCAGGCGGCAGTAATCTATGCTTCCACCTTTATGTTGGTGGCTCTTAGTATTGACAGATTAGATGCAGTGGCAAGACCAATGAACTTTTCTGGAAGTTGTAAGTGTGCTCAGATTATGCAATTGTAATCCAGAAAATTGCCCAGTGACCTTTCACAGATCTAGGGGAGGGGTGATGATCCAATGGCCCACCCCTTTAACACATGAGTCATGAGATATCAGTGCACTTATGTTACACCCTGTCATAACCGTTGACTCAACGAGTTGCTGCCAGCAAGGACATTTTGCAAATGGTTTTGACTATGTCACTTCGTAATTTACTTGCATTGAAACGATCAGATTTGTACAATATATGATGTAAGATCAATGTTGTATTATGCTGTCTACATTACATTGGTATTCAGATATAGAATAATCTAATGTCATAGCTCAATTAAGGATTATACTTATTAGTTTTCCAGTACATATGTAACCCCGCACATCATATCAGGTATTAAGTTGCACTACCCAGTAATGAGCTGGCAGTGAAGTATTAAAAAGGGACTCAAATCTGGATATTAAATTGACTTTATCTTCTGATCGGAGAAAGCTATTGTGATGAAATTGGTATCAAAATGTAGCTGATGATGGCAGGAATCCAAATATACTAATAGCTTTACATACACCTAATGCTACTTAATACCTGGTTTGATGTGCGGAGTCACATATTCTTTTCAAATATAAGTCTAATGTGTTTATCGTATGGTATATATGGGCTGTAATACATGTTAGTCTGATTAAGTAAAACCTTTCCAGGGCTTCGAGCAAAGGCATTGATTGGAACAGCATGGGCATCATCTCTGTTGTTCGCGACACCACAATTATTTTTGTTTCATGAAAAGATACATCTTGGTGGTCCACATTGTTTTATAGACCTGTCAGAACCATGGCAGTGGCAGGTAAGAATATTTCCAAGGATGACATAACAATTTCAATGCTTTCTTTGAACGAAACTCGTTAGATTCACATATTTACTGATAATACTAATGCACTGATCGGCGGTATTCTTAGCAGAATTCTTAATAATTAATACATTTCAATGCTTTATCATGTTGGTTTTAAGAAGCATCCTTACTCATTATATGCGGAGAAAGACTAACAAATTAAATTAGACACAAATTTCGTTTTTTTATTTTTTTATTTTGTTCATCTGCATGGTAATCTAACAAATTTTCTACAGCAGCCCCGTTCTACTTCCACAATCGTTTTTTTTAAAAAATTCACAGTTTTTGTAGGACCCATATATTGATACCAATGACAAACTGTGGTCTAGCGAAGCTGTCATATTACTTGACTTTGGGGTTCAATAATGTGTAAAGGTTAATGTTTTTTTTTCTATTTTTAGATCTATATATCGGTTATCGCCCTGATAATATTTGTTATTCCGGCTATCATTATTTGTATTTGTTATGTTGTTATTGTTATGATCATCTGGAGAAGTAGCAGATTATTAAAACCGTCCGATTCACAAAAATCTTTTCGATCATTCAAGTCAAAAGATGAAGGTGAGAAATGTTTTATTTTAGAATATATGAATTAGAAAAACAAATTTAAGGTGAAACTATGTAAAAAATTGTCGAAATTTAAAGGTGGGATCCTGACCACTATAAAATTGATCGACAGCGTGCGACAGCGTGCGACAGCGTGGGAATTACTGGATGATCGCTAATTCTGACAAATCAGGTCTATGACAAGATCTCATTTTGATAGAAGTAGAACAACTGATGACAATTGCGATTTTCAGTCGTCGGACTGCTAAAGTCGACTAAATCCTTCGATTTCTCAGATTCCCCTAGATTCTGTCTTTTGCTCAGCGTTGTTACAAATTCAGGTGCTCATATATTCTATCAATTTCAAGGTTGGCAAGAGTCTCGTTTATCTTAGCGAAATATCGTAGTATTTGGAAAGAAATTTCTATATAAAATGCCCCAAATATAGCTCAAACTAGATTTGTATACATTGGAGTATCAAACCCCGTTTCATTTCATTATTCCAATAAGGCACTGAACAGAAAGATATCAAATTCAATTCACTGCTTCAGAACAGTAGAAAAACTGAACAGATCGGTAGAATACATTTCCTTATATATAGAATATAGGGAATTAGTCAGAGATAAATATGCATTCCATTTCACAAGCCAACTTAGTAAACTACTAAACAGAGAGATATAAGAGTCCATTGCATTCAATGGCTAAGAAAAACATGTTAAAATATATTTCCAAAGCGTTTTAAAAAAGTAAAACGTCTGTGTTTCTCTTAAAAAACATACATGTTCAGACTGTAAGATTAGGAGCAACTGCAACTATCTTGCTTATTGTGGAACCTGCAACAATGACTAGGAGATAATTTAAAGCCGCTACAGATTATCTGTAATCAGACATACTAATCCGAGTATAAGATAAATGCGTAGTGTTGTCTAATTGTTATGCATACACCGCCAGGAAATTATGTCTTAGCTCAGTTATATTTCTAAGAGAGACATCAATCAACATGTCTTTTCTTACCATGAAATGTGTTTTTGTTGGCGGAGGCGGTGTAGTGGTATATGGTTCAAACAGATTCATTTAAAGGAGATCAAAAGCCTAATGTTATGCTAACACGATTCCTAGTTGATTTTACATACAAAATACTCCCTTCTACAAAACTCTACATAGTAAAGTAAGAATGTATTTTGGATAGCACAATTCCTCTAGTATCTTAGTACTCTCGATATTTTTTTGGTATTTATTCTGTGCGTTACTTCACTGTTTGGTTGGGAATGATAACGCGATGGCGAAAAATGCAGAAAACTGTCAAGAAGTGTTCGATGACTAATATAAGATCCATTGTCGAACACACGAAGTAGGCTAATTCTGCTTGCTATTCTGTCAAATACTTCCATCATTGCACCCTGAATGGTATCGTCTATTGTTATTAATTCTATTAGAATTATGGATATAGGACTTTGTACTTCATTTTAATTCATAATTATAAAGAAGAGTAAAGATTTTTCATATTTTTTTAGTATTTAGTAAAGTTATCTCGACAGACTTAAACAAGAACTATAAGTACTACTTAAGAAATGTAACATTATCCCACACACTTCCTTTAACAAAGTGAATTATTGTATTGGTAAACCAAAGACATTCGTCTTTCAAGTTCAAAGCTATTCATTTCAGATTAGCTGGGCTTACTCCATCATCAGCAGATTGTTTCAGATTAACTTTTCAGTGTTACCCGACATCTCATTAATATAACCAGTCTCTTTTCTCTTAAGGTCTTAATTTAGAGCCGATTATTATCTTTAGATGATAGGTTTTGCGGCTTTTTACCTGTATAACCTTTCCTGTATAGCTGTTGCTATTTTTATTGAAATCACTTTTAAAGAGAATGCAATCGTTTGTCATTTAACTTAACACGTTCTTTACACAAACATTATACAGAAGATTAACAATAATACACACATACCCGGAAATGTTATATCTTAGAACTTTAACGACGCAGGGTTTGTGGATCCACATAAAAATAGGGTACGGATAGCGGCAAATGCTGAATATAATTATTCCGAATAGCTCTAAAGGTGTCCCATGTAATCAGTAGGGTGGGGGCGGGGGGAAATAGGATCCACTGCATTTTCAAAGGGAGTTTCCCAACACCACGCATTTATGAACTCAAAAATAAACAAAAATGAAACTAAAACGGGGGATGGGAGAGGACACAACAAGAACAGCCTCAGCCAATAATAGATCATAAATTACATTATATTCTATGTAGAAACAATGCATAGTTTCATTTCGGCAGTGAATACAAATTTTACAACCATTTTTATTTTGTAAGCTTGAAACACTACGATATAAGTTATATTTAATGTTACAGAATGTTTAAATGGTCACAGTAGAAGAGATTCTGGGAAAGAGAGTTGTAGTAGTTCAAGAGGAGTTATACCACAAGCAAAAATCAGAACGATCAAAATGACGTTCCTCATTGTTTTAGGTAAGTCAGTACAGCAAGCAGCTGCCTAGTCAGGATAAGTACGTATCCAAACACAAAACGATATGGCCGATCTTTTGGCAAAAAGTTTCATTATCAAAAAACGTCGTAAATTATTCCTGAAAATATTTCTAAAGTGCATTTCAATGTATGCTATTTATATCTATGTATCTATGTTAATTAAAACGGAGAGTACTAATTGTTAATTAAACAGTTTGACCTAATTTTGGTATTTGGCTTTAAAATGGCTCGATATTATAAGTTGATACCTTTGGATGCTTTGAGTTAAAACTTTCAGATACGTTTAAGGACACATTTCCGTAGAGTTTTATGTTAGATTTCACAAATTTGAGCTCAAAGAATTTTCGGCCTACAAAACAGCGGAAGGCCCATTTAATTCCAATCGTTAAGACCATACCAAGAAGGTACATATGAAATGACACCCATTATCTATAACATTGAGGAATATCAGCCTAAAACACATTATCGATCTGTGGGTCACATACACACTCGATGTAAACATCCTTTATTATTGTAAAATTTCAATAAGTTGAAATATGATTGACTGTAGGCGATTAAGTACATAACATATTCAAATAAGAATCAGTACAACTGTCAGACACGGTAGAAGTTTATCTTCTAGACATCAATAAATTTTACCTTTCAGTTGACACATCGTGTTATAATATTTCAATTGCAAATGAGACATATTATATGGAAAATTGAATAGGTTTTCAGAAGGCGTCAACAAGAAAGACAGTTATATAACTAAAGTTGCTATTGATAAGAGTATTTATGATTAGAGAAACCAGGTGTTATTAACGAGTACACATCTTATTGTCAACTTAATATCAATAATAACCGAGTTTTGCTAAATAAAAAAAGGATTTATCTGACCGATTTTATAATTAAATAACAATATTTCAACTCTTTCAAAAAATTACCTTAATATTTCTTGTCACGTATCGCTGTATTTTCTGAAGCCCTGAAAGTGTTTATAAAGAAGCGTGGTATTGTGGAATGAGTCTAATCTGTCGAAAGATAAATTCTATTATGAAGGGCAAATTGTACTAGACACAGAAAGTGCGAGGTCTTTCGGAGTTCATTTCTGTAGAAGACGTTGTAATTCTTTCCCCATATAAAACTAACAATTTTTAAGCTTTAGAATTCTTAATTGGCTACGTTTCTCATGCATCTCCTTGATCATATTGAATAAATAACACTTTAGAAGATATAAAGTGTGTAATACATACTGCCTCTATAACATGGTTATCATATAATATAAAAGTATATTATGTTATGCCTTTACTTCACAGACCTATTGACGCGATCGATCAAAGTTGATAAAATAAAATGGATAGTTAGATAGATAGATAGATTACTCTTATTATATCATTTCAGTGTTTATTATTTGTTGGAGTCCATATTTTATTTTCAATTTGTGCTCGGTTTATGGGTATGTCGATTGGTCTCTCCCATCAACAATCAAAATCTCTACCTTCATCCAAAGTATGGCACCATTAAACTCGGCAGCCAACCCCATTATCTATGGTATATTTAGTACCAGGATTTGTAGGTATGTTCCTTTTATTTTTTAGCGGCATTTATTGGTTGATCCGATATTGATGTAAGTACACTTACCATGATCAGACGATTTTCCTCGTATTCTGTGATATCAAAGCACCAAAAAAAAATTGCTTAAAAAATATTCATAATAACCAATGGTCAACGTTGTTATACAATATAACTGTATTCTTTACTATGTATGTCTCAGAATTTCTCACATATTATATAGTAGGAAAATTTGATACAGAACAGAGCATTTAATTGGTTGAATATAAAATGACCCAGAACATGAGGTGCATTACAATTCTATCAGATCATGGATGGTACGTTGGGTCACCAATGTTTAAACGAAATATCTATTGCATTTAAATCAGATTGCGTATGAGTTCAATTGAATTACAACACCGTGGTGTTAATAAGAACCAATATGTCAAAAATAGAGATCTGGAATAGGAGATTTGACTGACATTTTTGTGTGGAATTTCATTAACCATGTTTTAATTCTCCAAATATTTCTAAGGGCTTGAAATTATCTCCTGACAATCGATAGTGTAGAATGTTGACAATTTGAATGGGGAATGTGTATAGGACTCATTAAAACCGAGATTATCCTGTCTTTTTTCATTCAAATTATGATGTCGATTTTGGTTTTCCACCAATCAACGGAGGGAATAATCAAATTTTTTTAAAACATTCACCTTGTATCCAACTCTTCATCAAGACTATGACAATGTTATATTTTAAAGTATACTCTGAACTTTCACTGAGATTCCGTGTCGTGTCCTCCCCATTGAAATGGATAAGATTCTACTCTTTCTAAATTGAAAAATATTTCATGTTATTTTTATTTATCATGAAATTTTAATTATGTTCGTAAGGCAATACCAAGAATCATTCTATATCTGTATAGCTTTCAAAAAAGCAATAATTGAAATTGAGTTCTACGCCTTACATTTGTGCGCCTGAGTATACTATACGTACAAAGCAAAAATCTTTAACGTGCACATAATCTACAGTAGCGCACTTGGCTTCAGATTCATCGTTCAATGCGTTTTGCATCATTTGAAAAAAATGTGGAGAGTATCTTTGAAGATTTCAGTCGTGTTTTGATCTATCAAAAATTGACGTTAAAAGCAATCGAATGTGACAATAAACATACGCGTGCTTCAGACCGTGAACACAAGAGATCCCTCGGCAGTTCGACACGCAAAAAAGTAAAAGGAACTCATTTCATAATAGCAGTATTTTGTCATCACTGGCACAATGACCCACTACGTTATGTCAAATTTTTATTCAAACAATCAGGTTATGAATTATACGACCTAGCGAGACAAATTATAACATTTCAATAAGAATCTCGAATCTAATATAATATAACTTGGGGCCCACGATTCCAAAGATGAATTGTTTTTATGACTCTAAGCTGAAACAGAGATCACAATATGTACATATATAGAATCAAATTGGTATTGCCTTTAATTGGAAATGCATCATTATTTGCAATTGCACATATATAAGCGCTGGTCTATTTTTGCATCAACCCCATGGTATATTTTCTGAACTATAATTTAAGAGTTACTAGAATCCTTGAATTCAGTGCGCCTGCTTTGTGACCTTTGTTTCAGACGCCTCTATTTGTTTCGAAAGGTCCAAGACCACGTCTGCAAGTGCTGCAAGAAGGAACAACTACCACGGAGAGCTTCTGGCAACGAATACACTAGCATGTCGGAGACAGAAGACATTCGCTTAACATCAGATATAGGAGGTGGTCGTTCATCGTCTGTGGCTAATGTTCCTAGAGTGCCATATATTCGTCAACCGGTGTCCGAAGCCGATAAAGAACTTTTATCGATACATATCAAAACTCAGAATGTCTGAGAGACGACTTGCGTAATTATATTCAGAAATGGTTGTCTATTTACAACTAATAGAATGTGTATTTACAAACGGATAGATTGTACATAACGGATGGATTATGATATTTATAATGGATGGAATGTACATTTACAACGGATAGATTGTACATAAATAACGGATGAATTTAAAAAAGATGGATTGCATATCTAAGACGGGTAAACTGTAAATGGACTAAGGACGGATTGTATATTTACAACAGATGGAGTGCAAATTTGAAATATTGGATTGCGTAATACAACGGATAGAATATTATTTAATTAATGGATTGTTTATTTACAACAGATGAATTTGGTATTTTAAGCGAATAGATATTCCTTTTTACACACAATGGCTTGTATATTTACAATCCATAAATTTTTATCAGTTGAATTGTGTATTTGCAACTAATCGCTTGTACCGGATAGATTATTTATTTACATTACAGCTGATAGAATGTGTTTTTGCAACGGATTATTTGTAAAATAACCGAATTACTGATGTTTACGTTTGCTAATGGGTATATGTGCAAATAAAATTGTGATGGGTAGTCAAATAAAACGGAAAGTGGAAATAAAATTGTGTTTTGCTAGTCACACGAAACCTGTAGAGAAGATAAACTTGTGTTTTGCTAGTCAAACGAAACCTTTAGAGAAGATAAACTTGTGTTTTGCTAGTCAAACGAAACCTTTAGAGAAGATAAATTTGTGTGTTGCTAGTCAAACGAAACCTTTAGAGAAGATAAATTTGTGTTTTGCTAGTTAAACGAAACCTTTAGAGAAGATAAATTTGTGTGTTGCTAGTCAAACGAAACCTTTAGAGAAGATAAAATTGTGTTTTGCTAGTCAAACGAAACCTTTAGAGAAGATAAAATTGTGTTTTGCTATTCAAACGAAACCTTTAGAGAAGATAAAATTGTGTTTTGCTAGTCAAACGAAACCTTTAGAGAAGATAAAATTGTGTTTGCTAGTCAAACGAAACCTTTAGAGAAGATAAAATTGTGTTTGCTAGTTAGATAAAACATACAGAATAAATATGATTTTGTTTGCTAGTTTAACGAAAACTAGAGTGAATATAAAATAGTGTTTGCTAGTCAAACGAACTATAAAGAAAATATAAAATTGTGTTTTGCTAATCATACGAAAACTAAAGGGAATATAAAATTGTGTTTTGCTATTCATACGAAAACTAAAGGGAATATAAAATTGTGTTTTGCTAGTCTAATAAAACATTTGTGGCTAAACTGCAAAGTTCGTGGAATTTAGATTAAGTTGCTAATCCAAAGGAAAGTATTGGCACAAAGACTAACGAAGATAAACTGTTTTCTGAGCGAAATGAAAGACTCGGTGACATTATTGCTTGTCATATGGTCAGTAATTTTCTGCAGATAAACTTTCAGAAAGACATGATGCTTATTCAACCAATGAATGAAAAATGACGAAACAAGGAGGGATGTTTTATGAGTCAATAGATTGTTCCCAAAATAATGAGCAAAATATAGTGCTAGAAAAGGAAATGAAATTTTGATGTTAGAATGATTACAATTTCTGAATCGGTTATTGAAAAAATTCGTGCATTAAAGTGTTTTAGTGTTTATTACTATTTTACGTTCACAGTAAAATTTTGCTGATGAAATTAAATGAAAGAACAAAATGAAAATGTTTGATACTCAAATGACAAGCGATGTAACTACATTTGAATGTTGAAATATAAATTTGGTTAAAATAACATCAATCTTGTCAATATCTAATCAGTTAATAATATAAGGTAATGTGTGAAAGACTGTGTACATAATTTAAAAAAAACCGGGTTGATATAAATTCCCAACTAACTAACCGCATCATCCCGCAAACCGGATGTAAAATATGTGACGAAAATAGATCTTGCTCGTGTTATTGATAATTAAATTCTACAAATGCGTGAATCTATATCTTTTCAAATTATGGAAACAAAATTATTGCTTGCATCATACCAATATCAGCTTGAAGTTTTGATTTTTTGCGCCATATTTGACTTCCGGTCTGTGGCTTGGTGCTGTTGAAAGTATATACTTACACTTAATAAACGTGCCTTTTTCTCTATACCCATGGTCCACGCATGGAAAAATATTTTTGACTTTCTGATAATTGTCACATCAGAAATATTTCGGAAATCTTGAACCAGGACTAGTTGCGAGAAATTGAGCCTTGGTGGAATTGGCATATTTGGGTTTGCAATTGCAAATTTCCAGATCACAGACTGAAAACATGTTTACCGATGCGTCCTAGTATGATGGATTTTTTTCAGAAACATGTGTCTAAATGACGTCTTAGAAACTCGAATTTAGCATTTTTTTTGATACTGCATTGCAATATTCCAAGTTGCGTAAATCAATTTTTCGAGATATTAAGTCGAATTTGTAAATAAATGAACTATGGTCGCTTCCGTTAATTAAATTCATCCTCCCCCACATCTAACTAATGGAACATATCATCCCTGGTAATAGTTCATAATGTAAAATGAATTCTGTGATTATTGATGTTGTGTATCCTAGATGTAAATATGGTTTATTCCCTATATTTATTTATGTTATTATTAAATATATTTGTATAAAGGATTACACTGTTATTTCGTTTATAAGCTTTCGTTATGTCAGAACAGTATATAGACCGACTGACTGATATCAAGCCTCTAGATTCCCCCGGCAATTCTTAGATAAGAATTCATTCACGACATTAACTGTTTATTTAGATACTTTTCTTTTTAAGAAGTTCAACGATTTAAATGGACAAAAAAATGCATGGTGGGTGGTGAAATGTATAAAAGGTAAAAATGTATTGTATTATGAACATTACCTACATTTTGCAATGTAAAAGCCCTTTGCATGTACATGTATGAACTGCTAATGGAATGGTACAAATAATGCAACAAAAAGGACCAGACTGTCTGCTGCCAACCCGTCGATACTGATATAGGTATGGATTTAGCTTTCAAAATTTCACGAATCAAAATCTTGAGATTACTAATAAATCCCATCATTGCGCCATTTCAGTTGACCAATTATCATATATATGGAAAGCTGAAATTACATATCAAACTCGAATAAATTTTTGTAATACATCGTAACACGATGTCCAGAATGGTGTATAATCATAATCATTAATATCGGCGAGTACAAGTTTATGAGAAATTATCATTGACAGGTCTGGCTAGATCAATAACATCTACATAAACCAAATTATTTACAACTTATTATCTCATATACCACCCTAACCATAGATGACTTTCTCATCAAATTCTCTTTACATCTATCCATTTAATTTCACTCAGAAATAGTTTCCACCGTGGACAGACGAAAGGGCTTAACAATGCACAACAGAGCTTGATAATCGTATCAGAGCGTGATTTAAAGCGTCATAACCGCATCAAAGCTTAATAAAGCTTATCAAAGCGTGATTTAAAGCGTAACAAGGCCTGATCAAATCGGGAAATAATTCGTCCCCAAAGCGTAACCAATTCGTATCAGAGCTTATCAGAGCGTAACATTACTTAGGAGATCGTGATATTTTTTGAAAAGTAAACAAAAAATGATGGCGCTTTGCTCGCCGATTTAAAGCGCGGCATTCGCCGTTGGTGTGAACTAGGCATAAAGCAGTGGCCCTCCAAGCAGTGGCTAATTTATATGAGTGGGTCCTCGTAGACTTAGTGGATTGGGGCTTCCTCCAGGAATTCAACTTATGTCCACTTGCATTCTGAGAGTCAAGTCAATTTTATGCATATTAGTAGAAGACTTAAAGATTTTCAGTCTTTAGTATATAATATGGCCCCATCATAAGTTAAACCACTTTAATCTACATACCTACTTTGGTGCATTTTTGTCCGGGTGGGATCCGGCCAGTCCTTATGGTAGTTGAGCGCCTGCCTCTAAGGAATCGAGTACGATAAGAAATGGGAAATTGGAAATGAGTCCAAAAGTCCATAATATAATAGCCAAAGGGTCCACTCTCTGAAATACGTGATGAAAAATCAAACAAACAGGTTGAAATGCCACACATTTAAATAACGTTATTCATGATTGTAGATTACAGGCTTTCAAAATGTACACGAAAAAGACCTCCTCACCTAAACAAAGACAAAGTACCTTTCATTAAGAATTATGGAGGAACTTTCATTGACCTGACTTACAGTTATATTCCAAAATTATATTTCAAAATACAGTCAATATTTGCTAAACAACTCAGTACAGTGCTGTATGAAGGGAGATAACTTTAATATATCTGTTGCTTCGTTTTCACTTGGCAGGATTTTGCCACAACCAAGTCATTAACTAAACATAAGGTATGTTAGCCTTATATGGATATAATATACAGACACGCATAATTCCTTTAGGCACTAAGTCTGAGTCTATCTAAGTCAAAATCGTGAAATATTAAAATGGACTACTGACGTATGATTGGAGATCGAATTTAGGGCAGAAATACAGCCTGCAAGTGTCGACATTACACACATTACGCCTAGAGTAGACAAACATCTTCAGAATCTTCAGATGTTTCAAAACATATTTTATTGCAAGGGCAGTAACCTGCTTGGTGTGAATAGACGTGTGTAAAACGATTTATCGATTTGTCACGGTTTGTTATGCAATCATTTTTTTTTAGTGGGGAGGGGGGGTGGGGGGGGAGCATAATGGACAAATTTGGTTTTGGGTCTGCAGACCTTACTTGGGGACCGATTTACCTTGAGTTTGCTTTTTTATGCCATTTGTAACAAGAAACATTCTAAGATTTTGAGATTTTCAACTTAGGCACTATTTATCGGATCGACCTGAAAACTACTGGATATAGACAGAATGCCGATGGAAAAAAGACTGCGTCATCAAAATTATTAAATCCCTTTCGGTCTCAAAATTAGTTCTAATAATAATTGAGAGGTTTATCATGATACGGTATAAATTAGTTCTAATAATAATTGAGATGTTTATCGTGATACGGTATGAATTAGTTCTAATAATAATTGAGATGTTTATCGTGATACGGTATAAATTAGTTCTAATAATAATTGAGATGTTTATCGTGATACGGTATAAATTAGTTCTAATAATAATTGAGATGTTTATCGTGATACGGTATAAATTAGTTCTAATAATAATTGAGAGGTTTATCATGATACGGTATAAATTAGTTTTAACAATAATTGAGATGTTTATCGTGATACGGTTTAAATTAGTTCTAATAATAATTGAGATGTTTATCGTGATACGATATAAATTAGTTCTAATAATAATTGAGATGTTTATCATGATACTCTATAAATTAGTTCTAATAATAATTGAGATGTTTATCGTGATACGGTATAAATTATTTCTAATAATAATTGAGATGTTTATCGTGATACGGTATAAATTAGTTCTAATAATAATTGAGATGTTTATCATGATACTCTATAAATTAGTTCTAATAATAATTGAAAGGTTTATCGTGATACGGTATAAATTAGTTCTAATAATAATTGAGAGGTTTATCATGATACGGTATAAATTAGTTCTAATAATAATTGAGAGGTTTATCATGATACGGTATAAATTAGTTCTAATAATAATTGAGAGGTTTATCGTGATACTCTATAAATTAGTTCTAATAATAATTGAGAGGTTTATCATGATACTCTATAAATTAGTTCTAATAATAATTGAGAGGTTTATCGTGATACTCTATAAATTAGTTTTAACAATAATTGAGATGTTTATCGTGATACGGTATAAATTAGTTCTAATAATAATTGAGAGGTTTATCATGATACGGTATAAATTAGTTCTAATAATAATTGAGATGTTTATCATGATACTCTATAAATTAGTTCTAATAATAATTGAGATGTTTATCATGATACGGTATAAATTAGTTCTAATAATAATTGAGATGTTTATCATGATACTCTATAAATTAGTTTTAACAATAATTGAGATGTTTATCGTGATACGGTATAAATTAGTTCTAATAATAATTGAGATGTTTATCGTGATACGGTATAAATTAGTTCTAATAATAATTGAGAGGTTTATCGTGATACGGTATAAATTAGTTTTAATAATAATTGAGATGTTTATCGTGATACGATATAAATTAGTTCTAATAATAATTGAGAGGTTTATCATGATACGGTATAAATTAGTTCTAATAATAATTGAGAGGTTTATCATGATACTCTATAAATTAGTTCTAATAATAATTGAGAGGTTTATCGTGATACTCTATAAATTAGTTTTAACAATAATTGAGAGGTTTATCGTGATACGGTATAAATTAGTTCTAATAATAATTGAGAGGTTTATCATGATACGGTATAAATTAGTTCTAATAATAATTGAGATGTTTATCATGATACTCTATAAATTAGTTCTAATAATAATTGAGATGTTTATCATGATACGGTATAAATTAGTTCTAATAATAATTGAGATGTTTATCATGATACTCTATAAATTAGTTTTAACAATAATTGAGATGTTTATCGTGATACGGTATAAATTAGTTCTAATAATAATTGAGATGTTTATCGTGATACGGTATAAATTAGTTCTAATAATAATTGAGAGGTTTATCGTGATACGGTATAAATTAGTTTTAATAATAATTGAGATGTTTATCGTGATACGATATAAATTAGTTCTAATAATAATTGAGATGTTTATCGTGATACTCTATAAATTAGTTTTAATAATAATTGAGATGTTTATCGTGATACGATATAAATTAGTTCTAATAATAATTGAGATGTTTATCGTGATACTCTATAAATTAGTTTTAACAATAATTGAGATGTTTATCGTGATACGGTATAAATTAGTTCTAATAATAATTGAGATGTTTATCGTGATACGGTATGAATTAGTTCTAATAATAATTGAGAGGTTTATCGTGATACGGTATAAATTAGTTATATCATTTTTTACTGAATAGTGAGGTGACTTTTTTGGAGTGTTATTTTGTAGTTGATATATTTATCAGATATCCGAAAGTTTTCATTTCATGTTCAAAAATTGTAGAATTCCCACACTCTAGTCCATCATGTTTCTCCGCTAACCCAAGAGTGACCCAAGAGTGACTTTTCCTAAGTTGTATTTATTCCCTTACCCAGATGGCCATTGAAATAAAGGAATCCTTTGTCTGCCCGACATTTGACTAAAACCCTGTGGTTCGTTATAACACTGGTCAACCACTTATCATATATATAACCTGAGGTAAGATTGAACAAATCCTTCCCCTAAAGTTATTGATAAGTATATACCGACTGTGTGTTAATCACTTAACAAAAAATATCGTCTCTGTCTTGTGCACATTGGGTATCAAAGGCGATGTAAGATATAACAATAGACAGTTGAAATTATAGATAAATACTAACACCCCAGCTGTGCGGTAATACTCAAAGACCATGACATCTTACTTATTCAATAAAGAATATTACAATATAAACAACGCTACAGGATCTTTAACGTGCACAGCCTGTAGAACACGGGGCCTCGGTTTATTGTCCCATCCGAACGACTAGGCGCTTTTTCCATGTCAGCCCCTCGTACCTGCATCACTGACAGGGGGAAACCGGGTTGAAAAATCCGAAGGTATTATCTCGACCTATGCCGGGATTAAACACTGGACCTTCAGGTTAGCGTGCAAGCGTCTAACTCACTGAGCCACCGCGGCTCCCTAACCTTTTAAAACGAATTCAGTTTGATCAAGAAGATACATAAATATAAATAGCATACTTTAGAAATATTTTTTAGGTATAATTAACGACGTTTTTGATAATGAAATAAAAAGCGGAACATCCTTTTAACAACACAGATCGTTAGATATTTTTATTGTTAGAATAGTCATAAAATTTAAAACCCGGACCTGGTCAACAAGTGTATACATTCATCAGTTGGACTTTCCAGGTGCCATGACTAATATATTATAATGAGTTATTACTTAGTTTAATGGATGTATTGCATTATAGAGGAATTCTTTTTACACTAGGTAAGTCCATTGATGAACAAAGACTCATTTTGGCCAAGTGACTGTTCTTTACAACTGACAGTCTATCGTGATTTTTGATAATGGCAAAAATTTGACTTGAAGGCTGCAGAGCTTATTTTTTGGACCGATTTACTCGAGTTTTCTTTTTTATGTCCTTTCTAACAAGAATGTATCGAATGCAATCGAAAAATTCTAAAAATTTTGAAAATCAATATATACAAAAAAAATTGTTTTGAAAATTTTCTACGTAAGCGCTAATTATTGGATCGATCTGAAAATTACAGGATATAGACAGAATGCCAAATCAAAATCACGTTGGGTGACCCTGCTTCTGGTGTAATTCACAAAAGTATACTAAAAGCCGACAGATTATCTTGAATTAATTTGAATCACCCAAGAAGAAAAATTCAAACCGGAAACCCCTCCTTTCACCAAGGTGAAAATTAAGTTTGTAATTAAAAATTATAAATGTGTCGTAAGTAAGTCACCATACTAATAAGTAATTTCATATGCTTAAAGAAGAATATTGACTTTTTTATACGATATCGATTTAAATTTTCCAGTCTCTCGCAGGTCATATTTTTTTGATTGACAAATATCTCATGACATATAACATGATAAGACGTTAAACTATCATGTTATTCTCATTTGGAATTTGGATCTGTCCATTTGATATCCCATTTCCTTGAGTTCATCATAGCTATAAAAACATTCTGAGGTATGTCAACAAAGATTGTACACTTTGACTCGTAACCAGACTTGATTGAGGGGCCATTACGCCTTCTTGACCCTGCATAGCCGCGGTCCGGACTCTAACTGACCATCAGATCAATGTATATGGGAATATGTTCTTGGTTTCCCTTTCGGGGAACAAAGTTGTGTGAGTAGTGCAGGTGAACGTGAAAGTCTCTCAACTTGTGGAGTACTACAGTTTTCTCTCTGCTTCACTGCTCAACATTTTCCAGCCTGTTTATTAATTTATAACATATTGTTAAGACAGTATGATAGTTGACGGCACAATGACCACATCGCAACGTATGGTTTCATTAGGAGACGGTACTTATACAACAGAAAAATCTGAAGACAGTCCAAAAAGAGACAAATGGGGAAATCACGTGGAATTTTTCCTTGCTACAATGGGTATGGCCGTCGGTGTTGGAAATATATGGCGGTTTCCGTACATATGTAACATAAATGGTGGAGGTTCGTATTCTTTTTTTTTTATTATTGACCAACCACATTTATAATTAAAAGGTATAAGATTGGCAAATTTTCATCAGTGATTCCCCTTTTCTTGCACAATCTCGTAAAATTAGTTCTATCGGTTCGGTTAACAAAATCACATTTCGTCAAATCATATCTTGGATTAGTGCAGTAAGTCATTTATTCGGAAACCTAAGCATTTTATGACATAGCTACCATAAAGGTTCTTTGCAAAGGTCCTTCATAAGCAGCTTGGCAAGAAACCCTCTTTGGAATCCCTTTAAAGTGTTGAGACCTCAGCCTGTTAATATCAATTACTAGAAGGACTAGCCATGGAGCCATTTTATTCGTCTTAATGTCCGAATTTCTTAGCGGAGAGTTTAACATATGATAATATCAAGATAGACGAAATTCAGTATCCTATGCCATGTACGGCACTGGATTGACATAAGGCTATACAAAAAAAAAACGTGTTCGCACTGTGTCTGACCCCTTAATTCGCTCCATGTATACTCTTTACCACCATACAAATGATCACCCATGGTTCACTGCACCGGACACAGTTATCGGGTAACATGACATATTCAAATGGCTGCTTTTTGAAGGTTGACAACCGTTTATACCTTGTCAATCGCACACTTTTTATTTGTTATAGGAGCATTTTTGATCCCGTTTGTTATATTCCTGGTAACATGTGGATTACCACTGTATTTATTGGAACAATCCATGGGACAGTTCACAGGCAGAAGTCCGGTTCAATCCTGGGAAGTGTGTCCATTGTTCAAGGGTAAGGTATAAAAAGAATCCATAAATTATTTACAATCTGTAATGAACGCACTTGAGGATTCAGTATAAATAATACAATACAATACATTATAATACAATGATATCATATATCACATTTTCTTATGAATAAAATCAATATATATTTATGACAAATAAGGTCTCCTTTATGTAAAATGACAAGATCTATATGACATTCAGGGTTATCTATAATATGTAAATTCCTATTAATGTATTTAGTCTGTCTTGCACAAGATAAAATTATGTTTAAAAGTTCATTAGGAATTGATTTATTAAAAGATTGTAAGCCAAATAAAATAAAACATTTAAAATCATGATATGTAAAACTATATGGTAGAATGTCAAACAACAATTGCTGTAATACATATATAAAAAGATAAGATCTAAGCAGTCGACGAAGGGACGTTCGGTGGTTTCATGTTCGTCATTACATAATGGGCACATCTCTCTGTCGACTTTGCCTATTCTTTTCAGTTTCACTATTTTGTAATCTAAATTAATCATTTTGGGTGTTTTAAATTCTTAAAAATGTTAGCTCATGTAATTGGCCAATTAACTTCCAAATTCTGTTTCTCCCAGTGTTTAACACCTGTTAGAATAACATCTTAAGTTTAATTAATATTTTGTAGCAGAATTTGGAAGTCAATTGATCATATGGAACTTTGTTACCATCAATATTAAAAACATTTCCACCATGGACTATAAAGGAGCGAGAATTAATAATATCTACCCATTTTTGGGGTACTGACTCTTGTAAGTCTCTCTGACCCTATTTTTGGTTATATATGGGAACTTTTCCTTTAAAATATCAATAATGCAGTGGTTTCTTAAAAATCCAAGTATGACATAATATAATAGGTCATAAAAAATTGAAATTTCACATTTCATAAAATAGTTACAAGCTAAAATTCTGTTATTATTGTTTAATAAAATATTGTTAAAAATAGACTGTACAGCAAGGTCGTTGAGATTAGTGGGATCAGGTCTTGAACCACTGTTCAGGTTATGAACAGCATCTGACGATTATACAGATAGTCCAAATATAGCTCTATCAGCTGGTAGAGTAAATGTTTGGACGATTATACAGATAGTCCAAATATAGCTCTATCAGCTGGTGGATTAAATGTTTGGACGATTATACAGATAGTCCAAATGTAGCTCTATCAGCTGGTAGATTAAATGTTTGGACGACTATACAGATAGTCCAAATGTAGCTCTATCAGCTGGTAGAGTAAATGTTTGGACGATTATACAGATAGTCCAAATATAGCTCTATCAGCTGGTGGATTAAATGTTTGGACGATTATACAGATAGTCCAAATGTAGCTCTATCAGCTGGTAGATTAAATGTTTGGACGACTATACAGATAGTCCAAATATAGCTCTATCAGCTGGTAGATTAAATGTTTGGACGACTATACAGATAGTCCAAATATAGCTCTATCAGCTGGTAGATTAAATGTTTGGACGACTATACAGATAGTCCAAATATAGCTCTATCAGCTGGTAGATTAAATGTTTGGACGATTATACAGATAGTCTAAATATAGCTCTATCAGCCGGTAGATTAAATGTTTGGACGATTATACAGATAGTCCAAATATAGCTCTATCAGCTGGTAGAGTAAATGTTTGGACGACTATACAGATAGTCCAAATATAGCTCTATCAGCTAGTAGATTAAATGTTTGGACGACTATACAGATAGTCCAAATATAGCTCTATCAGCTGGTAGATTAAATGTTTGGACGATTATACAGATAGTCCTAATATAGCTCTATCAGCTGGTAGAGTAAATGTTTGGACGACTATACAGATAGTCCAAATATAGCTCTATCAGCTGGTAGATTAAATGTTTGGACGATTATACACACAGTCCAAATGTAGCTCTATCAGTAAATGCTTACACGACTATACAGATTTTCCAAATGTAGCTCTATCATCTGCAGACAATATTTAGATGTAGATGCCAATACAGATAGATGGAACGTAGCTCTATCAGTTGGTAGATTAAATGTTTGGACGATTATACAGATAGTCCAAATGTAGCTCTGTCAGCTGGTAGAGTAAATGTTTACACGACTATACAGATTGTCCAAATGTAGCTCTTTTATCTAACAAAGGCAATATTTAGATTACTAAAACAATAGCTGAAACGTAGCTCTATCAGTTGGTAAAGCAAGTGTATAAACGACTATACAGATAGTCCAGATGGGGCTCTATCAGCTGGTAAAGCAAATGTTTAGTCGACTATACAGATAGTACAAATGTAGTTCTATTAGCTGGTAATTATTTAAACGACATTTAATTGACTTTGTCCCACCAGTTAATAGTTAAGTTATGCACTGTTTTATTTTCAATCACTAGGTGTTGGCTATGGTATGTTAGTTGTATGTTTCACGACCACTGTGCACTATAATATGATTATGGCATGGACACTATACTACCTCTCACAATCATTCTATACAGAATTACCGTGGACAACCTGTGGGAATGAATGGAACACAGACAAATGTACAACGTTAAGCGGCATTAAAAACAAAACTGAGTATAATACTTCCGTGAGCTTTAATAATGGGGGCAATGGAACAACGTCCTACTTAGTACAACTGAACACTTCCATCCATTCGAAAGGTTCTGCGTCTGCAGAAGAATTTTGGAGGTAAGAAAGGATTGGGTTAATTAAGGCAAACTTTCAGGGTTGTATTCATAAAAACTGGCAATACAATCAGTTTAGCAAGAGGGCTATATAGGCTATGTACGACTTTGCACTTATAATACATTATTAACATGAACACATATAATCACTTTCAAATTTGTTTTCTTCATAGAACCTACGGCACAAAGTGTAAATTTGTGAGTGTACAAACTATTTAATAGCTTTGTGTAGTTATCAAATGAACAATTGGATGAAATTTTATTTTATTATTTAGAATGTCATTTTTCAAAATAATTTTAAAATGTTATGAAAACAAAATTCTATATTTTTATCTGCCTACATTATGAACTGGCTGGTAAACGAGGTTAATGGCAAAGTTTTTGCCACATTTCTATATGAAAATCTTGTTTATGATTTGGGTACGATCCGACAAAAACTTCCTGAGAGACAGCCCTTGATATGTTACAGTCAATCTGTGAAATCAGCCATTTCATGAAATGCCTGAAATTTTTAGCCTTTTCATGAAATGACCAATTCACTCAGCCATTTCATGAAATGGCTAAAATCAAAATTCTTAGGGAAGGGCATGAGAATCAGATGGGTTAATATATAAGAAGACTAATTTTAACAACATTTTTTATTTTTATAACAGTTTTGTACATTATTTAAACAACAAAAATAATAATAGCACATTTTTGAAGAGCATATAATAATGTTCATGGAGTCACTTGCATCTGTTGGTTTGACATTGTTTTTTCTCCATTTCCGTAATCGCATCGAAAAAAACTTTCACAGCTTGGCGAAGTGTCACTCTACATTCTGTGTTCACATCACAATTACTTTAGTGGACATAAATCAAATTGAAATCATGAAATGGCTGATTTCACAGATTGACTGTAACAGATGTACAAATACCAAGTGAGCGTCTGAGCCCCTGTAATTATTATTATTATTATTATTAGTAGTATGCCTTGTGAATTTTCTTTATTACCATTATTATTACTAGCATAATCTATATTGGATAAAGATAATTTTTATTATAGATCATTATTATTATTTCATCATTGTAGGTATGGTATTCTTGATATATCTTCTGGTGTGACAGAGATAGGTGGCATCAAATGGCAGTTAATTGTGGTATTTATCGTTGCCTGGATCGTGGTATTTCTGTGTATGTTCAAAGGTATCAAGTCTGTTGGTAAGGTATGTATGTTTTTCTTCGTCTTAACCGATATATTTTTTACTCACTATCCACTAGACCCCCAACTAAGGAAATAATCACGACAAAGGGAGTTCAGTCTCGTAACGAATCACTGAGTAGACCATCTTGTCTTATAAAAAGGCGATTGTAACACTTCAACGAATATTGTCCCGCTGAGGAGACCGTTTTGTACTTAGAAGACCAATCGCTATCAAACTACATTCAGTAGGTCATGACCTAGTATCAAATGAATTCTCGTAGTCCGCATAGTCCTCATCTCCAAAAGACATCAAAATTAAACTGGACCTAAACTATTCAAATTGATCCACTAATGACCCAATTCTGATTCTAAATCTTATATCGATATTAATTTTACAATGATAGTAATGAAATGTAATGTCCACATATCGGTTACCATGGGTATGTTTTGACTATAAACGTGAAAATGTTAAACGTAGATGAAATAGCCATATAATTATGTAATCCAAATCGTGTTTAAATTATATAATATCTTAACTGATAAAAGCGATTAGAAAAGTGTTGACGGAATAACAAAAGGTTCACTGTTTAAAGAAGTCATGCTTCGGTGATTTTTAAGTTCATATAAATCTTAGAAAAGTATAACATTTAATGTCATCAGTGAATATTTATATATTTCGTTAATTGTTTATCGGACCACTTAACTCATAGATAATTTGATAAAGTTCTTTATTAATGTAAACATTAATTCATGAATACTAAAAATGCTATAATATGAACGTAAGGAACCCTATAAAGCGGAAGCTATATTGCTTATTAAGAGTCTACATTTACTTAGTACTTAGTCCTGAATACAAACGTCGTTCGTGGAATAGAATAGCAATAGGCCGTCGCCGACTTCCAAACCCTTACGCTGCCCATCTTCCCCCCGTCATCTAGTCCACATCCAATACTTTTGCTTGCTCAAAACTTCTATGCATCTATTATTCAAGTCGACTCAGTCGATAACAATAACAGACCTTAAGGACCTTTGTTATTATTTGTTGTACTACTTGAATGGTAATCTCTCTCTCCCTGGCTATACCTGTCTACTAAGACGTTTTCAGTGCAACAATTTCAAGGGAGATAACAACAATTAAGCATATTCGATCTACAAGTCTAAAACGACTTGTTTAAAAGAGAACCAAATTGGCAACCCCCTTAGGTTTTGTCAGTTTATATTTGAGAAAAGAATTAAGATAGCTTGTCAGGCAAGGAAATATACGCCCACTGGCAGCTTTGATTTTAAATAAAAATATTTGGCAGTACAAAAACAATTACCAGTATGATATATTCAACCTTCAGATATACACTTCTTTTGAACTTTTTGGGGCGATACTGAATAATATTACCAAGTTTCGTCTTAATCCGCCAAAAACTGTGCTTTCTGGAGTGTTTACGTGCTAAAACTTTAAACGCGTTTAAATAACTCATACTAAATATTTTTCGATTTTTCTGATTTTCAATAGAGTTTAGCCTTTGGTGATAACAAACGCTCATGCCAAATTTCATCAAAATCCGTCAAGATTTGTGCCTTCTATAGTGTTTACGAGCTAAAAATTGAAAGAGTTTTCAAGAACAAGGGCAATAACTCATATTTTTCGATTCTTCTGATTTTCAATAGGGTTCATCCTTAGGTGATTACGAATACTCACACCACGGTTTGTCAAAATCCATCAAGAATTGTGTCTTGTAGAATGTTTACGGGCAATTGTGGACGGACGGACGGACATGGGTGACGGCAATATACGCCCTCCATTTCATGTGGGCGTATAAAAATGTAAAGATACTATCATAATAACTGATTTATTTTAATTAATGTTACGCCAGAAAGGGTGAAAAGGTTTCCGTCATATTAGTTTATCATTTTGTGGTTGCCAACACCAATTAGGTAATTACCAAACCAATTATTGACAATTTAAGTAAAATAAGATTATCCATAAAAGATACCCTAAAAACTTACGTCGTCTGCTAAACGAAAACGTAGTGGGAATTTTAAGGAATAGATCGTCTTAGAATAAACATAAAGTTTTAATTTCAATCAAACTTGGCCAATAACAGTATATATCCATCAGTAGACTGGTGTCATAACTATACATGTTTTTTTTTAAATTCTGAATATAGTTTTATTGTCGCTTTTCAACATTGATAAAGTGTGGGACGCATACTCATTTCACCAATGGTCACTATACAACACAAATAAAAGCCGTATTGTAAGAGTGTATTCTAAGACGTTCTATTCCTTTAAGATACCGTTCCAAAAGTCAAATAATTTTCAAATTCATAGCTCTAGTATGGATGTATTTTTCAATATTGCAAAAAGATCGGGGACAAATATTATATGTTAAAGAGTTAAAGAATTACTAATCAGATTAATTTTTTCTATTTCACTGTGAAAAGCTCAAATAAAGAGTTTGATTATCAACTGCTGCTTGTCACTCATCTAAACACTAGATTTGAATTCCAAAAAATATAGTATTTATTTTAAAAAATTACCAAATTTAAAGATTTGAAATACTGTTTTGTCATGTTACCTGTAATTTAAATGAGAACAAAGAGTGTATTCTGATTATGACAATGACGTTACTGTAGGATAAATATGTTATTAACTGGAAGTTCAGTCGTAAATATCTAGTATTTTCAAGAATATGTTTGTGAATTATTGTCAGATGAAAAAAAAACAAGGGCGATAATTGTAAAAAGAACTCCTTATTAATTACAAAAAGACCATGTTTAAGCTGACTATATAACCAGAAGTTAATGTTTTCCATCAATATTATCATGTAGAGCATGGAGAGCCCAAAGGTTATTTACGAGATATAGAATTAAGCTTTGAAAATGTATTCAAAATTCTGTGAAAGGTGGAGGTTTTCTATTCATGTTGTAAATTATTATATATCAGATTATCGTATTCTAGGTCGTGTATGTCACGGTACTGCTACCTTATGTTCTGTTATTTATCCTGCTAATCAGAGGGGTCACACTGAAGGGATCATTAGATGGTATTTTATATTTCCTGAAACCAGATTTCAACAAACTTCTTGAACCAAAGGTAATACGTGATGTAATGAACTTAATGAAGACTTCAGAATATATCAGATCTTACCTCGACAGATTCTCTGTTTATGCTGAAGCAGACATTCTGTATCCTCGTTTATTTAAGATTACGTGTTTTGCCGAAACAATAAGCTTTTACTCTCAGTTAATATAATCACCTAATGTAAGCGATGCTATACACTCTCACAATTTAGATACCATTTGTTGACCGTCGTATGCATGTCTCGAGTGAGAAGGCCTGGTAATGCCATTCTCAAGTGAATAAATGGTATTTATGGTTTTTAATCAATATCTAGAATGGTAAACAATACTCATGATGAGGAACATTTTCAGGTTTGGGTCCAGGCTGCAGTTCAAGTGTTCTTTTCATTAGGACCATGTTACGGTAGTCTGTTGACTTTATCCAGTCACAACCCCTTTCATAATAATGTTCTGAGGTAAGAGCTTACGAGAATGAAGAACAACTTACATTTGGGGAATTTGTTTTGCGAACAAAGAGCGTAGAAAGGTCATGCACCCCTTTTCTGGTAATGACTGTACTAATGAATGCAGATAACGATGTATTGTGTAAAAATCCGGAAATTTTGCCAAAGCAGTTTTTTTTAATGTGCGGTTATCGCAGGATCAGGATTAATGGGTTGCAACATCTGGAACTAACAGTCAACGAGCAAACAGTGAACTCGGTGAGCCACCACGGACGTAAGATGACATAATGCATAATGGTACCCTTTGTGATATTTAAACTTTTCAAGGATAACATTTTATTGGCTCTTATATTTACTTGACCTGTTGCCCAGTCACGGTTCTATAAATCTAATTTCAAATTGAAACACCATCCTCAAATTTTGTGTGATATCGCCTTCATTCGCCAAATGAGAATTAACAGTATCATTGTCTGATCCTTTGCAGGGATTCTATCGTGCTGCCGTTAATCTGTGAAGGTACCAGTCTGTTTGGTGGAATAGTTATATTTTCTGTACTGGGTTTTATGGCTCATGAAGTCGGTGTGGGAGTTGGTGAAGTTGTTGATTCAGGTAGTTTTTTTTTCTCGTAATCTCCATATCCATATATATACTTGAAAGGCATGTTTGTTTAAGTCCAGAGCCCTAAGCTTGAGAAGAACAGGCACCTAAACACAAACCACAGTAACCATGTTCTGCTCAACTACGATTCCTAAAATTTATCAACCCGGGCTCTGGGAAGAATAGTTGTATATTAATGCATTTAGATGAAAATAAAGGACTGTTTCAATAATAGGATATGTCTGACATCTCTTGTGGGAAACTATTGGAACAACAATGAACATCACAGCATAAGCAATAAAAACATAAAAATAAATGGGTTTTGGTCCTATAATCATTTTTATCTTGAAGGTCCAGGCTTAGCTTTTGTAGTTTATCCACAAGGAATAGGAAAGATACCCATCCCACAGCTCTGGGCGGTAATGTTTTTCCTAACTTTATTTTCCATTGGTTTGGATTCGCAGGTAAGTCTGCTGTGGTTTTCAGGGAATGATGTATGAAAAATTAAAGCATGATTGATCGCGATATACTATATAAATGCGAGAATATAAGTGTAATGTTATAATGTGCATTATCATGCAGTATCCAGAAAAATGTTTTAGCGGAAACAGTGTATGTCACAGCGGAAACAGTGTATGTCGCAGCGGAAACAGTGTATGTCGTAGCGGATACAGTGTATGTCGAAGTATTTACGTCATCTGATTAAAACATAGTTCGAATCGTATCGTGTTTATCAGTAGGTTAACTTGCCATCCAAGATCTTGCGAGATTTTTCTTAAAAAATGAAGATGTTCTGTGAAATGTAGACTCAGTGAAATCAGTTCTGATAAGTCAATGCTAACGAATGTTTTGTTTTTCAGTTCTGTTTCATAGAAGCAATATTCACAGGCATGCTCGATACATACCCAAAATTTGTAGCAAAGAGAAAAGTACTCCTGAAAGTTATATTTTGTGTGATTTACTTTTTGGTCGGTATTCCATTGTGCACAAGGGTAAGCTCGTTAATTAGATAATTTACCTTTATGAAACCTAACACCACACTGTACTTAACTTCTAAAGTCCATGAAGACATTTTCTACTCATACATAACAGGATCTTTCAAAACACTCTTAGTTTAAAAATGTAGAACGGGGAACGAAAACACAAAGAAAAAATAACTCAAAAAAGTTTGTGTTATCAGCTATACTAGACCAGCCTTCCTATTTCATAGCCGAGTGATGACGATTTGCAAGATAATTTATTAGATAAATTCTAGATTGTGTTTATAATTCAAATATTTCATTACGAAACTGCAAGACATCGGAGACTTTGCTGTCATATATTATCATTTTTGTATCAAAATTTGATTAAATATATTTCAGGCTGGCATATATGTATATCAATTAATTGATTGGTATTGTGTTGCGATATCGTTATTTGTATTTGGTTTAATAGAATGTATAGTAATAGGATGGATCTACGGTACCGAGCGATATGAGAATGATATCAAATCTATGATTGGTCGAAAACCACCAGCATTTTTTCGAATTTTCTGGAAATATATCACGCCTGTTATCTTAGTGGTAAGTCAAATTTAAGTTGGATTGATTAATTATACTACTTACAATAGTAATAATATACTTATTAAAAAAGGAAGGAAAGTGCTTACATAAATGGACAAACTTTATATCTCATAACTGCACCTTGTATAGTTCATGACCATGATATATTCCAATGTGCTATAATGAAAACTCCATGTACTAGCAAGCATTATCTAGCTTTGTGGATTACAATAAAATATGTTCACTGTTAAAATAGTGCTCAAGATTATCTGAAATAAATGTTGTCTGGCAACCTTCTTCAATAAATTGATTACGTCCCTTGTAATTTCTAAAAAGTCTGACTTGTCATTAACACTGCAAATAACCGATAATCAGTATTTTCTACTTCGAATGGAACTTAGTTTGAATAAATTCGAGGATATGTGTTGTGCTGGAAGTCCAGTGTAAAACAAGACAACACATTTCAGGAACTAATATTCCAGAATAACTCACACAAAGTATTTTTTATTGAATAAAACATATGATTGTTTGATTATCATATGAACCAAAGATGCTTAGTCATTTCGTGAGATCATAGATGGCAGGTTAAGTCACCTATTTACGCCAAATATTTACGACAGTTACGCCAATTTGGGAGGTTGGTTTTAGTAAATGTAAATAGTCTTCAGAATCGTAAAAAATATCTCAAACCAGGAATTTCTTTTCCTATGTATATGGCAGTGTAAAACTCGTCTTTTTAACTTTCAAACGTGGATGATTCTCGACACACGTGGATTTAAAGGCTCAAATATCGACGGTGAGCTGTGAACATTATGACTGATTCCGGTGTCTGAGACTATGGTACGATTGGTTAGAAAATTGCGCATCTATCCCTTTAAACACCCAGATTAGCATTTTAACCAGATTGTATCTCCGACATTTACATGTACATTTCTACACTTGTCCCTGTTATTTTCTTCAATATATTTGTATGATTTATTTATGGATGAGAGGTATTATGGTTCATTATCTTTTGTTCACTCTATGGTTGATATGATTTATTCTTTAAGCTTTTTGAAAGTAAAATCAAACGTTAAAATGTTCGCTAATGCCTTTTCTGATTGAGATTGTCACGCATATTCTACGGGAAACAGTTTAATATGAAACAACTAGAAGCCTTTTATGGATATATGAAAAGGTCATCAAAATACATGTTGAAATCTGTACTCATTATTGCGCATTTGAGTGCATTGTAATATCATCTATACACAAAATGATAAATTCATGAAATCATAAATATAGAATGCAAACCATAGTCCCTATTTCACACAATACATTGCCTAAGTTTGACGTATTGAAAGGTAATTGAAGCAAATTCCGACAGTCTAATTAGAATTAGACCAAACTTTCGTTCCCTTTGTTGTGATTAGCTTTTAATTTTAAGATAGCCAATTCAGTGACAACCTTACGACAGCCTTCTTGAACGTTCGTCAACTTTCAACCCTCTCCCGCACAGGCATTTTGTGACGAAGTTAGATGAAAAGGTTAATTTGACGATCATTCATATGGTTATATTAAAAATAAAACTTAATAAATAACGAAGCGAAAGTTTGGTAAAAAACTGAATCTCTGAAATCCGCCCACTGATCTATAAATGTATTAACCAACATATTTCATATACACAGTAGGTATCAGTTTACTAAAAGAGGATTTTTTGTTGATTGAAAAATACAAGATTTAAAGGGAATTTTGCTTTGAAACAGCAGACAAAATCGCCATTTGATCTTTCTCGTTTTAAAAATGAAGTTCTGTGTGATTCTATCAATTGAATAAACATTTAGATTTCAAATCTTAATATGCTACATATAGTTCATAAATAAGTGGGCCGAGGGAACTCCATATTTTGATGAAGGCACTTTCTTGTCGACTCTTTTACGTTTAGAATTTGACAAGTAACTCTAACTTCGTCACTCTTATTACAAAGTTCGTATTATTGATTTTGACTAGCCCTGTCAAACTCAACTGAGATCTAACAGAGAAATGAAATGTACTAATGGCGGTCAAACGTTGGGAAAACAAGAGAAAAAGTTCCTCAAAAATTACAAGCTTAAAAGCAGTCGCAGTCGACCTCTAACTGCGAGTTATGCGACCATATTGCGTTCTAACGTTTTTGGAGCGTCTTCGTCACGCGTGTACTGCGCTTTTATACCGCTTTATGAGATGTTACAACGCCTCTCTGACGACCTTGTCGACACTTTATCGGTTTCAACGCGTTGCAAAACATCGCTAAATATTGGCGTTTGTTTTGAACATGTCCAAAATAACCGCCCGCCGTGACTCGACGAATAGTGCATGGCACGATGTCTGACGTGTGCTGCACGCTTATATCACGCTTATGGCGACCTCATGACGCTCTGAGCTAATGTTCAGACGCAGCAGCAGTGCTGTAAGAACGCCTCCCTGACGTGAGAAGGCCATAATCAATATTCAATCGATTTTTCGAGAGTTCACAAAGTTTAAATTCAAATCAAACAATTATTGTGGATAATCAATTTTAATTCATTTATATCGAGTTTCAGTGTGGTTTTCACGCCGCAATCAGTAATGTT